TGAGAGGCATGCCTGCCCATCTTCAAGCATCCCCCCACTCCCAGGGGGGGGAAAAAAAAAACTGCCATCGAGTGGTTTCCGACGCATAGCAACCCCTCCTTGGGTTTCAGGAGGCGATATCTCTATGGAAGTAGATTGCTCAGCCTTCCTTCCAGGAAGGAAGCATGCTAAATACCTTACCAGAAACCAAACCAAATTCACTGCCAGAGTCGGATCCAACTCATAGTGACTCCTCCCTGGACTTCCGAGCCAGTATCACTACAGATAGTAATCTACTTCCAACCCTCCTTCCAAGGAGTGGCTGGTGGGTTTGAACCGCCAGCCTTCTGGTGAGCAGTCAAGTGCCTTAGGCACTACGCCACCAGAGCTCCTCTCAAATGCTTTGTTGTTGCTATTTGCCGTCGAGTCGGCCCCGACTCATAGCGACCCCTCCTTGGGTTTCCGAGGCAGTATCACTACGGAAGTAGGATTGCCCAACCTTCCTTCCGAGGAGTGGCTGGTGGGTTTGAACCGTCAGCCTTCTGGTTAGCAGTCAAGTGCCTTAGCCACTATGCTACCAGAGCTCCCTCAAATGCCTTAGGGACATACTAAACCCATTTTACAAACCGGCAAACAGCTTCGCGGGCTGCCCTCGGAAGATGCATTCCTAAGAGCAGCCATGAGGTGGCAGCACCAGCTCTCTTGTCCATCCCCTTCAGGTTTTCGCAGACTCTATCGCCCTCTGGTGATTGTAAGAGAACATAAACTGAACGCGACGGACCATTTGGGGACCCAGAGGCAGGGTTGTGACCTCTTGGGGAGCGGGGAGGCGCCCTATGTGATGGAAGAAGCCGGGCCCAAGTGGTGGTGGTGCCCCACGGTGGCCTCGGGTTGACTGGCCATTCTCCAGCCTCAGTCACAGGAAATGGGTCTGTTTAGACTTTGCATCAAGGTGATCGATCACTCAGGGGCTGAGGGCGCAAGCTCCCGGCCGGCAACAATCCCAGGGAAAGAGCCCCAATCAGGAGTCAGACCCTTGTTCTAGGCGTGACTAAGCCATTGACCATATTCCCTTCATGAAAAAAAAAAAAAAACTCATTGCCATAGAGTCAAATCCAACTCATAGCGACCCTCATAGCGACACTCATTGAGTTTCCAAGGCTATAAATCTTTACCAAAATAGATCGCCCCATCTTCCTTCCCCAGAGCAGCTGGTACCCTTGAACTGCTGACCTTCTGGGTAGTAGCCAAATGCCTTATCCACTACACCACCAGGGCTCCTTTCTGTGAAATAGGGAAATAGAAAAAGACACTATCTCTGAGTCTATAAAAATGGGGAGAGTAGCTAGGGCCTTTAGTGGGGCCTCAGTGGGAGGCCGAGGCTAGAGCCACAGTTGCTGGGCAGGAGGAGCAGAACCGGCAGGGGGCACAGGTGGGATCCTCCCCAGGCCACGGTGTCATGGACAAAGGGGGAACACGTGTCCCAAGCTGTGCACATCAGATGCTCCCTCTGGGGAAGCTGGGACAGAGACAGAGACAGGCGAGCCAGCCTCCTTGTGCAGCTGAAAATGTACCCGGAAACCCAGGGTGGAGGGGTCTGTGGGTGTCCCACCTTCCTCTTCATGAGGGGTGGCAGGAAATGCCTATCTGTGAAGAGAAGAGAATGGGAGAGGCACAGAGCAGGGCTGGAGGGACGCGGGAGGGCGGGCCCTTCCCTGCTCCCAATACTGCTCCTGACCTAGTTCCTGCCCTGCCCTCAGCTTCCACAGGCCTCCCAGGACACAAAGCCTGACCAACGAAGTGGGAACAACTTCCCAGACAGAGCCCCGGCCCTGGTGACCCCAACACCTGCGAGCCCCTCGGAGGCAGCCTGGCCTATGAGAGAAACTTGAGGCCAGCCGTCTCGGTTCCTAGTGCTGCTGTAACGAAAACTGCTGCAAGTGGCTGGCTTTAACCAACAGAAGTTCATCCTCTCACTGTTTAGAAGTCAGATTCAGAGCTCTGGCTCTCTGTCGGCTCTGGAGGAAGGTCCCTGTCTCTTCAGCCTCTGCTTCGTGGTTTCTTGGTGTGGTAGTTAAGGTTAGGTGTCAACTTAGTCTGGTCTGGTTTTGAGTGGCTGGGCAGCTGAATGTAGTTATTCCCCATGATGAGCCTGATAATCAACTCCATGGTGGAATCTACAGCCAGCAGCTGAGTAGCAGCCTTAGGGAATGTGGTCTGCTTCCAGCATATAAGAAGATGCTTTGAAAAAGGTCTCAAGTTTTTTGGCACATCTGGATCCTGCTAAAAGAAGCCTCCAGCTTCAGTCAGCTGGAAGATAGGGGCAGAACTGATGCCCAAGGTTGAGGGGCCTCCACCCAGCCCCTAGAGCCTGCACTTTGAACTTGGACTTCTAGCCTCCTATACTGTAAGAGAATAAACTCCTGTTTGTTAAAACCATCCACTTGGTGGTATTCTCTGTTAAACCAGCAGCAGAGGTCCAACACACTTGGAGATCTCCCTGTGTCTTAGCATTTATCTTACCCACCTCTACTCTGCTCGTTTAATTTCTTTTATATCTAAGAGACTGCCTCAAAATTCAACCTACACTAATGCTGCCTTGTTAGCATAAGAAAGACAACCTATTCCCAAATGAGATTATAACCACAGGCATAGAGTTAGGACTGACAACACATATTTCTGGTGGACACAATTCAATCCACACCGCTAGCTGTTCTGCCTCCGCGAAAGTCATTGTCTCCAGACCACACATCACAACACATCATGTACTTCTATGTTATTTGAATGTTTGTTATTACAAGGAACTTTTTTTAAAAATTCATTATGAAAATTAATTAAAAAAAAACTTATAAAGAAAAAAAATTCCCAAAAGAATCTGGTTGGCCAAAAACCCAAACCAAACTTCACTGCCATTGAGTTGATTCTGACTCATAGCGACTGTGGTAGTTATGTTTGTGTGTCAACTTGGCTAGGCCTGGCTGAGTGGCTGGGCAGCTGGTGGTAGTTATTCCCCATGATGAGACTGGCAATCAACTCCATGGTGGGATCTACCACAAGCAGCTGAGTAGTTGCCTTTGGGATGTGGTCCCGCTTCCCGTATATAAGGAGAAGCCTTGGGACTGGTCTCTAGCTTATGGCATGCTTGGACCCTGCGTGTAGCTGTGTCGTTGTTCAACAGCCTGCCATGCTCTGCCAACCTTGGGACTTAAAGTGGACTTAAGTCAATGGCCTGCCATGTGGTAACATCGGGACTGTGCCTTTTTACTTGTCAACCCTGGGGCTTCTTAGCCTCAGCAGCCAGCAGCTGAGTGAAGAAATGCCTCTAGCTTCAGTGGGCCGGGAGCAGGAGGCAGAGCTGGACCCCAAGGTTGAGGGGCTTTCACCCAGCCCCTAGAGCCTGGCACTTTGAACTTGGACTTAAAGCCTCCAAATTGTAAGAATAAACTGTTTGTTAAGGCCATCCCATTTGTGGTATATTCCTGTCAGAGTGGCAGTAGGTAACCAGAATAGCGACCCCCATTGAGTTTCCAAGGCTATAAATCTTTACAGAAGCAGATCACTTCATCTTTCTTCCATGGAGCAGCTGGTGGGTTCAAACCACCAACCTTGTGGTTAGCCAAATGCCTTAAGCACTACACTATCAGAGCTCCTGGGTTGGTTGGCCAGTCACCCCTAATAGGGAGGACCCCGTGGGTGGGGTTTACCTCACTGGCTGCTGGCTGAGCCTCTGGCTGCCTTGCAGGGTGCTGTGCCCTTCTCCTCAAGGACCCTTGACAAGGTGCTCTGCTGAGAAAGGGGCTTCATCAGAGCCCTACCCTCACCCTGGAAGGCACAGAGCTGGCTTCTCCCCAGGACCCTGTCCCAGTGTCCACCGAACTGGGAATGCTAAGAGTGAAGCTTAGGGCAGCCACCTGCCACTGGAGGGGCCCTGGGCAAGGCCAGGGCTCTCTGAACCTTGGTCTCCTTGTCTAAGGATGCTCTAAACTAGGTATCCTTCTCTACTCTTCACTTGCTCTTGTCACTGAACCTGCACAACTTACCCACAAGGTGGGGGCTACCGTTATACCTGTTTGACAGATGAGGAAACTGAGGTTCAGAGAAGGGCGGCCACTGCCCAGAGCCCCATATTCAGTGAGCGGCAGGGCCATCTGACCCCCAACCGTGCTCTAAGCCTCTGCTCTGCATACTCCAAAGGATTTTGTGGCACGTGTCTGCTAAGCCTTTAACCATATGCCAGACAGTAAATACTGGACAAACACTAGTTACCACCAGGCTTGTTGTTGTTGTTACGTGCCGTCGAGTCGGACCCAACTCATAGCGACCCCTCCTTGGGTTTCCAAGGCAGTATCACTATGGACGTAGGCATGAGCTTAATGCTGAAGCCTTCAGACAAAAAAGACCAACAGGAGCACCGCAGCCCTCAGCAACCCAGCACCCACCACAAGGGGTGCTGCAAACTCTTTATTGCATACATGACACACAGTCAAGGGTGGGGTTTGGGAAGGACACAGACTTAGGGAGAGCCTTAATCTTTGCCCCTGGCCCAGGGAGGGGGCTCTCCCTAAGACAGACTTTCCCCTACTTCCCTGTCCAAGGTTTAAGCCCCAACTGGATTCCCACTCACAGGGTCTGGCCGGCTGGGACAGGGCAACCATTGAAAACCCCAGGAAAAGAGTGGAAGGGCAGGCAGGCCCAGGACAGAGGGTGGGCGGGCCACCTCCACTGAGCCCGGGGTAGGAGGAGTACATGGCCCTTCTAGGCCTCCCAGAGGAGCTGCTGAACGGAAATTGAGCCTGGGCCTTGTCTCCCAGCCTCCAAGGGCCCTCATAGGTGTTCAGTGTTAGAAGCAAGAGGCCTCAGGGGTAGCCTTGGATGTCGATATTATGGAGTAGACCACCAAGAGGCAGAATGGTGCTGGCCCACAGTACTCAAGCACCACCACACTGGTAGGTGCTGGCCCAAGGGTCCTGGAATCCCGCAGCCAGCGTCCTTCACTTCCCTCGTCTCGGTGGGGATGCTCACTACACTGGGGTGTTCTCCATGATGGCCTTCTCCACCCGCAGATACCAGGGCTGGATGTGTGTGTGACGCATGAGGTCGTCGAAGGCCTCCAGACCCTCCATTACACGCAGCACACCATACACCGCCTGGGTCGGGGGACAGGATTGTCAATGTGGTTCAGTCCACAGCAGGGCATATAGGGCACGGAGGGGGCATCCAGGCCTGCCCTGGCTTCTGTCTGCTGTGCCTGGGGCCTATCACCTCCCCCCTCTGAACCCTGAGAGCTTCATGGCCTGTGAAAGGCCAATTTTGCACCCAGTCTTTGAATGAAGAGCAGAGCATGGCTGGAGGTTACACCCGCCTGGTATCCACACCTCCCTCTCTGGGCAACACCCCCTGCCCAGTTTCCTTTGGGAGAATCTACTCCCTGAGCTTCAGGTTCTGAGGTTTGGAGAGAGAGAACCCCATCCAGGACCCAAGCCTGCCAATCAGTGTGTCCTACCCTGGGCTGCTTCAAGGAGGTACAGCCAAGCCAAGCCCATGAGATGTCCCAGGACTTTTTCTGGGCAAAGCCTAGAGCTGCAGGACTCAGGCCTGCTTCAGGCTGAACCAATTCCAACGAAAGCAGGGTAGAGAGAGGGCGACAGGGAGAGCCCAAGCCCTGGTAACACTACTTGGACCCCTGGATCCAGCCAGGCCTGAAGCCCTGCAATTGTCAGTTATGTGAACCAATGCAGTTCCTTGTAGTTTCTTTATTCCATAAGCCACTCTGAGTTGGGTTTCTGCCCCCAACAACAGATGAAGCCAGCTTCATCATCAGCACTGCCAGTGCCTTCTCTGCCTGGACCCCCTGCCAGAATAAGCTCCTCCATCTGGGCACCCCCACCCCCACCACCGCTCACCAGATCAGCGAGGTTTGGCTTCTGGCCCCCCATGAAGGGTCGGTCTTTGCCCACTGCAGCCACCCACTTGTTGGCAGCCTCATAGAGGTCCTCACGCACGTCGTCCTGGAGGTGGTGCCTTGGGGGGGGAGGGGGAAAGCCCATCAGGGAAGGTCCTGCCCCTTCTAGGTAGGAAGCCAGGACTCCTTTGGGGATAGCAGGAAGGCCTAGGGCCCAAGGTCCCACTGCTGCACACCAGGTGAAGATATCACACGAAAGAGCGCAAGAGGCCTCTGTGACCACTGCCCCAGATGGGGAGACCTTGACTCAGGAAGGGCAAGACACCCGACCAAGGTCACCAGCAGAGAGAGGGGAAGGCACAAGGCAAGGGCCTGGGCCTCTAGACTCCCAGACCAGCCCTGCTTCCCTTTGCTGGGGAGGAAGCAATCAGGAGTTCTGGGTTCGAGTCCTGGCTCTGCCAGGATAAGTTGTGTGCCTTCTCTGGGCCTTGGTCTCCCATCTACGTCCTGAGGGGTATGAGAGAATAATTTTTAGGACTGAGAGCCCACAACCCAACACCATAGTCAGAGTTTAAAGTCCAGGGGTCCAGGGGCTTGGGGGCAACAGGCCCCAGACAGACACAGACACACACACACACATACATGTGCACCATCACCTGCTCTTGAGTCGTTTGCTGATGAGGTACATGGCAGCTGCACCCACGTACTTGGCCATGGTGCCCTCCACGGCCCCAAACTTGCCCTCGCGGACAATGTAGTCAAAGGAAGCCAGGGCCTCAGTGGGCGTACGGTACACGTTAGGAGAGATCAGGTGCACAAGCCAGTCATCCGCCCACTGCCGCCACTTCATTTCCTCCCTGCAGGTATGGGAAAGGAGCTCTGGTAGCGTAGTGCCTAAGGCACTTGACTGCTAACCAGAAGGGTGGCGGTTCAAACCCACCAGCCACTCCTTGGAAGGAAGGTTAGGCGATCTACTTCCATAGTGATACCGCCTCGGAAACCCAAGGAGGGGTTGCTGAGTCAGGTCCGACTTGACAGCACATAACAACAACAACAACAGGTATGGAAAGGAGGGAGGGTGGGCCACCAGCTCCAATCCTGCCAGTTGCATCCTCCCAGGCCCAATGAGACAGCTGAAACCAGGTAGACTTCCCAAGCCATGGGCCTGGGGAGTGCTGGGAGCAACACAGGCTGTTGAGATAAGCTACTGTTTGGGTGGGAGGCTGAGGCCTGAGCCAGGATGATGCTACTAGACTCGATCCCAGGCCGTGGCTCTCACCAGCCCAGCCCTCATGGTCTCCCAAATCACTTACCCTCACAGCATCCCCCTCAATCTGGCCCCACTCTGGGGAAGCCCCCACCCTTGATGGATCCCCTGGGCCAGCCCCCTTTCCACTCACGTTCTCGCCTCTGTCCCGCCATATATCCACTGGGCTTCCTTCTCGTCCAGCATGAGCCAGTACTTGTTGCAGAATTCAGTCACCTCCTTGCCCTGGTCGTTAACGGCCTTCATGGGTGGGTAGTAAGTGATGATCTCCTCCAGGGGCTGCCTTGGGGAGACATCCAGAGACTCACCCTAATACCTTCCTAAGGGAGACTAAGCTCTTCCTTCCTCCTGTCTACCCAGCCTGAACCCAGTCCTGGGGTGCAGCCAGGAGTGACCTACCAAGGCTTTCCACCCCTCCTGCGGTGACACAGGAAGCCGTGCAACGAGAGAGATTTGGGGTAGACACCGGGAGCATTTCTCTGACAAAGGAGATGTGTACGGGCAGGAGTGCTGTGTCTCAGGGCAGGACACCCACGGCCCATTCTGGAAATCTCAGCAGCAGCCCCACCCTGCTCCCATGCAGGCAGGTAGACCTCCTTGGAGGCACGAGAGCAGAAGAAATGCATGACCAGCCTGGGCCTCCAAAAGCTCCTTACCCTGACACCAGGTAGGTCTTGAGGGTGCTAATGATGACAGAGGAGTCATTCAGTTGTTGCTGGAAGAGAAGAAGTTGGTTTGGCTCAGCAGTGTTCAGCTGGCTGCTATCAGGATCGCTGGGCATGCTTCAATACCATGGCAAGATACTCTGAGGAAATGGTCACATGGGACTGGGCATAGTTTCTCCATTCATGGGGGTTCAACCCGAAAACCAGTGCCTACTGAGCTCTCCTCCTCCCCTCCGGACCCAGTCTCCACCCTCAAGGGACCTATCCTGGGTAAGGGAGACTCAGGTGTGGCTAAGGGGGAGGAAGGATGGGGAGGACTCAGGGCCTGAGCCACTGGCCCATTCACTGCCTGGCTTCCTGAGCATGAAAGGGCAGGTGGGCCCCTTGAAGCTACATTCTAGGTACTAAGTACTAGGTGCCAGGCATTTCATAACCACAGTGCCTACAACCTAGAGATAAGTTCAAGATGATTAATGAAGAAACAAGCCCAGAGAGGCTACATGACTTGCCCCAAGTCACACAGCCACTAAGCAGCAGACTCAGGCCTTGAACCCAGACTGCCCTGACTTCAGAATTCATGTTCTTAAGCTCTATGTGTTCTGCCTCACTTAGAGCCAGCTGGTGTTCGGTGTGGATGGGGAAGAAAGGGAGCCAAAATTTATTGAGCATCAACTGTACACCAGCTACTTTGTCCTCCCAGTCCTCAGTGGAGGCCCAGCAAATCTACGGCTACAGAGTAGGGCCAGACTCAGGGTGCCTGATGCAAGCCTGAGGCTGTCCTGGGCTCTGGAATTAACCCGAGACAGGATGGAGGTCAGAGAGAGGATTCCCTGAGGCTCACCAAGCAGTCTCCTTCCTGGGCCAGCAAGATGGGCACCTTCCTGTAGGAGGAGAACTTGATCTCAGCCTTGCGCACGGGGTTCACCTCCACCACCTGGTAGGGCAGGGCGTGGAAATCCAAGAAGGCTCGGACCTTGCTGCAGAAGGGACATGTCTTGTACTGGTATAGGGTCAGCTGCAAGCGGTTTGACAGGGACAGCTGGATGGGGAAGAGATAGAAGGGGCATCTGAGAGGCCAGCGCACCCGGGCCCAGGCCCCACCTCCAGCAAGCAAACATGTATTTTCCAAGGAAATCTGAGGTGATCCTGAGACGATCTGGAGGAATGAGGGGAGTTGCAGTGAGAAAAGGAAGCATGGGTAGTTGGTTTGTATAGTGGACAGCTTGAGTTCAAGACCCCAACTAGCAAACTTCCCAGGGCAGGAAGCTCAGTATACATTGGTGGTCTACAGAGAAGGAATCTTCTGGCTTCTGTCCAACATTGGAGGATACTTCCCCTCTCCCATCCCAAGGGGACATCAGACAGTCCCAGACTGTGCCCCCCAGATACAAAACAATTGCTTCAACTTGGGACACCCACCCTTACTTTCCAGCTGCAGGCTCAGTATTTGCCAGAGTGGGGTCTACCTCAAATCTCCAGTGGGGGAGTGTTGTATCCGGGTCACAGGCCTGGAATCTGCATTTTGGTAAGAATGTCCCCAGGTAAACTCACTGCACATTCATGATTGAAAACCACGGCTGTAGGTCACCTCCTTCAAAATTCAGATGGGAAGCCAAGGCCAGGACCGTGGAGGTAGATGGAAATACAGCTCGGCCAGTTCTCTCCCCCTGAACTTACCCCACTTCCCCTGGGTCCAGGAAACTGACGCCTTGGGGGTGAGGGTAGTGCCAGAGCAGAGAGGAGCCAGCTGTGTTGGTGCTGAGTATCATACAGTGTCTCAAGGGGTCAGGGCCACACCCAGCTGGTGGCAAACTTCCTCACTCCTCCCTATCTCAGGCTAGATTCTAATAGTCTTCAGTATCATGAAAATACTAATAAATCACAGCCTTAGGGTTTGGGGGTGTTGAGGTGCAGACAAAATGTTAAGGAAATGATAACCTGAAAGCAACTTTCTCTTTTGTGTGAGCTCAGAATCTTTCAATCAAACAAATCCTTCAAAAACACTTTGTTGTTATTAATTGCAATTGAGTCAGCCTTGCCTCCTAGCAGCCCCATGTGTTGCAGAGTAAAAGTGCACCATAGAGCTTTCAAGGCTGTGACCTTTTGGAAGCAGATTTCCAGGCCTGTCTTCCGGAGGCGTCTCTGGATCAGGCCTATCTTCTGAGGTGCCTCTAAGTAGGTTTTAACTGTCAACCTTTCCAGTGTTTTAAGTTTGCGCCACCCAGGGAGACCCTAAAACACTTCAGAGAAACGATTTTAAGAGAAAGACAATTCTAGGAAGAGGTTATCAGTGAACGCCCCCATTTTACACATGGGGACCGCTGCAGGCTTGGAGACTTAAAGTCATTCGTCCAAGGTCACTAGCGGGCTAAGGAGGCAGACCCCATTCCACGGTTCCCCCGGACTCCCCAGGTTGGGTGCCGTCCAACCCCAGTGCCCCCACCCTTGGCCGGATCTAACCAGTCCTAACCTGTGCAGCCGAGCACTCCGCGCCGAGGTCCTGGGTGCGCAGGTGCCACCGCGCGGTGTGGTACAACCCCAGGGCGCCTCCCAGAGCAAGCGCCGCGGCTCCCAGAAGACGTGGGTTACCTTTGCGAGCGCTGACGGCGGGGCCGGGGCTGCCCGTCGTCCCAGCGAGACCTGTCCGGCTCTGCGCCCGGAGCCCAAGCCCCGGGCTGCAGCCCAGCCTCCAGGCCGGAGCGCGCCCGCGGGACCACAGCGCCCGCGCCACCAGGGCCATGTTCGCTCCGCAGAGCAAAGGGGCGCCGCGGGCGGGCGTGCGAAACAAAGACTTCCCGAGGCTCCGGCTCCTCTTAAAGGGGCTGGATCTAGGGTGTCAGGCGGGTTGCCAGGGGCTACGATGACGCCGAGAGGGGTTGAACAACCCTCCCGAGATTGTGAGCGCGCTCCATGCCCAAGTACCAAATACCTTTCGGAGCTGCAGAAACACCAGAAGGTGTTTGGAAGTAGGTAAATTTCTCCATATATATGGTGACCCTTGGCCAAATGCGTGGAATAGCCGGGTGCTATTCCTGGGTCTGCTGCGTAGCTTTTGAGCCCTAGCTTCCTCGTCTACAATACATGGTTAGTAACTCCTACTTGGTAGCGCAGGTAGCCCTGGTAGCCCAGTGGTTAAAGTGCTGGGCTGCTACAAAAGGTAGGAACCCCTAAAATGCTCTGCGGGACAAAGATATGGCAGTCTGCTTCTGTAAAGATGGGGGGAAAGAAAAAAAAACCTCTGCAAAAGAAAATGAACCGAAGCCCTTCAGGGTGTCAGGAAAAGGGCCATGGTTTTCAGGTCAATAAAGGTGGCCAAACCTGCAAGACTTGTCACCCAACCAAGTAAGTGGTGGAAGCGACTCAGGGCTCTTTCTGCCCTCCCGCACTATTGCTCTCGTGGCTTGAACCATAAACATTTCCCAAAGCTACTGGAGGCCTTGGGAACCACGTGTCTCATATTTCTCCCACGCGGAGGGTCCGGCTGCCCACTTGGAAGTCCCTCGGACACGATGAGGTAAGCGTGGAGTTCCTCAACTCTTCCTGCTCTTCTGCTGGGCTCACTCTCCCTAGAGCAGTGCCTAACCCTCCACGGTCTAGGATTCTCCGCGGGCAGCCGACTTAGCCCAACAATGCTACCGGGAGAGGGGAAGGTCTCAGAGTAGGAAGGGCTGGGCTGAAATCTGAAGCCGAGACAGGCTGCAGACGGGGCGGAGACGGAGTCTGGTGGGGGGGCGGGGACAGAGCTCGGGTAGCTGTGCCCGAACCAGGCGAGCCCAGAACTGGAACTCTGCGACAAAGCTCTGGGGGCGGGGCTTGGGCCTCCATGCTGGGTTCCAGTTCAGAGTTTGCCTGTGCATCCTCGACCTTCCGCCCCTAGAGGGCGTTCCGTGCGACAGTGCCAGTATTATTGCATTGTCTTGCAGTCTTTGTGGCACCCTATGTCAGGCCCCACTGGGGACCTGAGCATGCCGGTGCGAAAGGCTAGGACGACAGCTTCGGGGAAGCGGGTGACAGAGGGAGCCGTTGAAGCGCGCTTTGCCTTTCCAGGGGTGCCTTCCTGGGACAGGGAATTGACGTCGAGAAGGGATCAAAGAACTCTTCTCTTCCCACCCTGAGTAGGTTGCCGAGTTGCAGGCGCTGCCTCGGTTGTGCAGGGCGAGCGCCTGCAAGCGGGTTCCTGAAAACCGCAGCATTGGACAACCGTGGGCGATCCGCCTGGTTTTCCAGGTGGAGAAACTGAAACATCTCAGGGACACTCGGTCGTTTTGGATTTACTCCAGCCACTTCCTTTAGCCCCTGGAGACCAAGGGACTGGAGGGGGGCAGGGCCGGGTTGCTGCCTGCTTGGATTAGCAGAAGGCGCCCTTGCTTTGCTGAGTCGGCATCCCCTGGCCCCTGGCTTTGCTGGTGTAGGTGTCTAAACCTTTCCTTTCTGATGTTTACAAAGCAGCCTGTTGAATGCTGAGCCTGGCATGTGGGCGGGGACAAAGTGTAGAGAGATTCTACCCATTCTGCCCTCTGGAGCCTCAATTATCTCATCTGTAAAATAGGAATAATGATTAACATCTCCATCATTGAGATGTGTCAGGATTAAATGATAAAATGAATGGGGAGAGGCTGAAAGAGTGTGGGCCACCTGGCAGCAGGCCACCCCAGCATCCTTTGCCACATCTAGGAAGGAAACCCAATGATGACTAGTCCTTCTGCCAGAATACTTGGCAAAGTTTTTTTTCTCTTTGACCTCTTGGCCAAAATTAGGCAGTTTGTTGGCACAGACCCAGGGCTCCTTCTGCCTTATAGCAGTTGGTCCCAGCATTGCCTCTTTCTTAATTCATTCCAGCCAGGGACCTTTGGTCTGTGGCCAGCACTGAGCACAGCCTTGATTAATGGCCAGGGGCCTTGGGACTGAGAAACCAGCTGTGGCTGAGCTGTACTGAGCCCTAGTCCCAAATCTGAGCTGTGCAAATCTCAGGACTCATTGAGTGTGTAGGGGGGCAGGGGGTGGTCACCAAGCCTCACCAGGACTGAGGCTTGATGAGTCTCTACCCGTCTCTCAGCCCTGGCCTCTCTCCAGCCTTTATCCCAACCCTATCCTGCCCTGATCCCTATACCCAGCCTCTTTCCTGACCTTGTAGCTTTGATCCAGCTCTCATTTAGGGGCTGAGCAAGTGGGCACAGCCCTCCTCTCCCACAGCCAAGTGAGGAGCAGAATGCCCTGTCATGGGCGTAGCTGAGCTTTTTCCTGTTGCTGTAGGGGCAGGTGGTCGAGACCCAGGATTCTCAACACAGAAGAGGACAGAACCACTGTCCAGACAGAGCCCAGATCCTGCCAACCTATGAACCCTGTTCTGGGCCAAAACTTCTGTAACCTCATCTTGGCCTCTGACCCTACTGGCCAATTTCTTCTAGGACGCATGCCCCTCCGTGGCTCTGTGACCCCACCTCTCCTGGTTTTCCTTCACCCTCTCCTTTTCTGCAGCTTTGCATCTTAAGAATCAGGTCCCTCAGGGTTCAGTCCTGGCCCTGCTAGGCTCCTAGACACATGCCCTTGGCATCCCTTCTCTCCCCTGGATTCTGTCACCATCTGTATCCTGAAGGCCCCAGCCTGTGGTTTAAAGTCAGCCCTCTCCTGACTCTCGGTCTGGGTTTGTAACTATCTGTAGGACAGCTGGCACGTCCCCTAGGCACTCCCACTTCAATCCAGGCACAACCAGCAAAGTTGTCATGTTTTTCTCCTAAGCACTTCTCTTCTGCTCCTGGGTCAAGGGAGAACCCAGGAGTCCTGCCAGCCTCTTCACCCTCCATGGCTCCCTGGCCCTACTCTGCCACCCCTTTCTAAGGTGGGTGTCCCATTGCCCCTCATCTCATCTGGACCCTGCTGAAGCAACTCTACATTGGTCTCCCAACAGCCACTCGTCCCTTTCCCAGATGCTTTTCATGGCAGCCTATCAGATTCCTACCCCCAGTTCTGCCCAATGTGTGGGCATATCTGTTCACCTGGTCTGTGGCCCAGAGCTTGCACTTCCAGCAGCGACTAGAGAGGAGTCCAACTACACTGACCAAAATGCTGATCACTCAGTGTTCTGGTTCCCTAGTGCCGCTCTGACAAGAAATATACCACAAATGGGATGGCCTTAACAAACAGGAGTTTATTCTTACATTTTGGAGGCTTTAAGTCCAAGTTCAAAGTGCCAAGCTCTAGGGGCTGGGTGAAAGCCCCTCAACCTTGGGGTCCAGCTCTGCCTCCTGCTCCCAGCCCACTGAAGCTAGAGGCATTTCTTCACTCAGACAGCTGCTGGCTGCTGAGGCTGAGAAGCCCCAAGGTTGACAAGTCAAAATGCATTGCCCCGATGTTACCAAACCACACGGCAGGCCATTAACTTAAGTCCATTGTAAGTCCCAAGGTCGGCCCAGCATAGCAGGCTGCTGAGCAATGACACAGCTACATGTAGGGTCCAAGCATGCCTTAGGCTAGAGACCATTATCAAAGCTTCTCCTTATATACAGGAAGCAGACCACATACCCAAAGGCAGCTACTCAGCTGCTCCCAGTAGATTCCACCATGGAGTTGATTACCAGTCTCATCATGGGGAATACTACATCCAGCTGCTCAGCCACTCAACCAGGCCTAGCCAAGGCGACATACAAACATAACCATCGCACTAAGGAAGGACCAGTGGTGATAGTCCAGTATTTGGAACCCATGGATATATGGTCAAGAGGAAGGTGGTCCATATATAAAAGAGGAACAGTGGTTCCAAGCAATAGCTTGGACTCCTGTTTGGCTTGGGATCTTCTTAGGTGGTGGACCTTAGATCAGCCATGGAGAATGGACATGTGGCCAGGAGGGGACTGGTCATCATGGTCAGAAGCCAAGGGAAGGTTTACAGAAGTTATGGCCTAGAACAGGGCTTAAAAGTTAGTAGGATCTGGGCTCTGTCCACTTCCAGACAGAGTGACTCCCAGGCTCTACAATCAGGGGCTGCCAAGTGGGCCAACTGAACACTTACTTTCTTGCCAGAGAAAGGCTCTTTGCAACCCCTACCCAGTAGGACTGAATCATTGCTTAAGATAGAACTTTTCCTTTGTTGTTGAATCTCTTCCAACTTATGGTGCTCTCGTGTGTGCACAGTGAAACATTACTCCAGTAGGTTTTCAAGACTGTGACCTTCAGAAGCACATCACCAGGCTTTTCTTCTGAGGTGCCTCTGGGTGAGTTCAAACCACCAACCTTTCTGTTACCATTTGCACCACCCAGGGACTCCTACACACCTAGTGTCATTATTTTTAGATGCTGTCTGGTCAGTGCCAACTCATAGCAACCCTATAGACAACACAAAGACACACCGCCGGGTCCTGTGCCATCCTCACAATCCCTGCTATCCTTGAGCTATGCAGCCACTGTGTCAAACCATCTCACTGAGGTTCTTCCCCTGTTTGCTGACCCTCTACTTTACCAAGCATGATATCTTCTCCAGGGACTGCTTCTTTCTGACAACATGACCAAAGTAGGTGAGACGACTTCTGCCCATTCTTGGTTCTAAGGAGAATTCTGGCTGTACCTCTTCTAGGACAGATGTGTTCATTCTTCTGGCAATCCATGGTATTTTCAGTATTCCTCACCAACACCACAATTCAAAGGCAGCCATTTATGATGGTTAAAATTTCAAAGACTGACCATACCAAGTGTTGATGATAATGTGGAGCAATTAGAACTCTCATAACACTACTGGTGGGGAGTG